GAAAGTTTAGAGGACTTGTTAACTTCTATTGACTCTCGGCGTGTGCCGGGTGGAGATCAGGCAGGTACTGAAAAGGAACCAGCAGAGGGAAGAGAGGGAGAGAAGGGGAACAAACAACAACCATCACATCTTCCCAACGCTCACACTTGTGGTTTTCTTCTCTCTCTTGTCTTCCTCATTCAACACGTATTTTCTGCAAGGCCCACAGAATAAATAATATACCAAATACCAAATACCAAATAATTACACAAATCCTCTTTGGTGGTAATATAGACGTTATTTCCCCCGTTGAATGGTTGCAAAATTCAGTTATTTCTAATTATTTAGAATTAATTAATTGTAGGTTACTCAAAATTCACATTATTAGAAATTATCTTTCCAGGAATATCATGTAAATATGCATTTGAGGGGAATCCGGCATTTCAGGAATTTAAAGGTTTCAAACTTTTTTTCATTTCAAATCCATTGCCCAAAGTCAATTTCAGACTCAATTATTGTAAAAAAATAATAATAATAAGAGCTTCAAAATTTGACGTTTTGGTAGATTGATATTATGACAATTATTCTTGTAAATTATTTTAAAATCTTGCATTTTGGAGATTACAAATATAATAACGTTTTTTTCACGCTATCGATTTGTAATCATATTTTTTAATGGGCGGTCTCGTTTAAACTATGTGGATTTTTTAGTTCATCCAAAAGCTATAATAAAATAACAAATCATTTGAAAAGAAACGCTTTTTTCGTCAAGACACAAACATGAAAACATGTATTATGATTGGCGAGAACACGTGGCTCTGTGCAGCAGGTTGTCTCAACTTCTTGGAGCCTTTTGACGCTGCTGATGAGTCTGAGGGAAGAAGAACAGAGGAACCTCTGGCCGATCAATTTAGACCGTGAACACTTTGACCTCTGACCTGTCCGCTCCGGACAAGAGGCCTATTCTTGCGAGGGCAAAGAACAATCTTTAATATATGACTCGTTAGAACAAATAAAATACGATCAAATAAAATATTAAAATGTCCAAAAGCCATATTTGATAAGGATAACTCAAGCTTGTTTATCACCAAAAGCAAGCCAGCAAAAACAACAACAACGACACAGTATCCCAGCTGAGATCTGTGTATTGATTCATTCAAGTTTGAACTCAATGTGTTCAGGGTAAGAAATGCTGTAAATTAACGAATAGACATGAATATCCTACTCTCTCTCTCTCTCTCTCTCTCCCTAAGTCTCCCCCCTCTCCTTCTCCTCCCCGCGCTCCTCCAGTCAGCCCAAGAGCCTGAACGACACGCGAACAATCCAATCAATGGGCGCAATGTTTGCGCCTGGCTGTGCCGAGGGGGTTATTTATTAACGCCTCGCCATTTGCTGCTGGTTCCCATCCACCCCTGCACTGTTTTTTTTCTTTAAAGCCCCGCACTTCTACACAGTGAAATGAATTATTCTACGAGTGGGAAAGAAATAGGACAAGACTTCCCCTTTCTGTTTGGGGAGAAGTCGCTGGACGGGGAATCTCCGCGGAGCGGTCAAACGGCGCAGTGTGGGAGGGACAACAGTGAGGCCAATTGGATGGGAAACGAAATGGTTTGACGGGCCGTATTGTTCCTCGTGCTTTATTTTTAAAGGGAAAAAAAGAAGAAATAGGAAATGACACATAAATGGCATGGTTTGATCTTTATTCTAGGACAATATCACAGAGCCAATCAACAGCATTCCGCCATGTGCGCATCTCTTAAATCAAACCCCGCGTCTCTTTAATACACGTAAATAACGACCGGAGAAGAATCGCAGTCACAGGACGTTTTTATTGGCGGCTCTGCCTCGCTGCCTTTGTGTGTGTGTGTGTGTGTGTGTGGTGGGGGGGGGGGGGGGGGGGCACGGCTCTGATTTAACTGGTCGGTCATTAATGAGCCATGAATATAGAGGAACAACCTGTCTGCGGTGGACGCGTCGGGCAATGCCCCACCGGGGATCTGCATTCATACTCCGCGACATACTTCACGGGTGCCAAAGGTTCACCACCACCTCCCCTCAACTGGTTTCAATGGCCTACCATTTAAGACCCCTCCGAGCTTGGGAGAAAACACATTTTTTATGTCGACCCATAAACTTTTCTGGGGGTTCTTTTCAGAGGAGCCCAATCATTGTCCCACTATAGCAACGTGGCTATTTCTCACAGATTCGTCTTGGAAATGACTCCGTGTTTGCCTGAATCCATTTACATCTCCGCATGTAAGCAAACACCTTCGGCTCCTCTCACATTTATTTGGTCACACTTCTTAGAGCCTAATTACAAACAAAGGAAAAATAAAACTTAAATCCTCGTGCTTTTGCTTTTCGGGGACAGGTTGAACTCTCCCCCGCTAAGGAATCGGGACGTATCACTATTCCTTTCAGATCTCACTCAAAGAGAAAAGGCTTTTGGACAGTCCTGCCTAACTCCTCGCCTTTTTAAAAAAAATCTCTCTTTCTTTACACCCACTACGTTTAAGGCGTTTTACTCTCTGAGAAACCTGGGGAAAGATGCAAGCTGCACCAGAGGCAGACCAGCTGCCTTGATGCGGGTGGGACATTAGCGACGCGTTTGAATAGTAATTATGCTTGTATGGGACTCCCACCAGATGACATGATTGGGATTTTAACCCAGACTAATATTCAAAATCGCATTAGAGAGGAGCCGAATAAACGGCACCTGATTCAACGCTGTTCATGCGTGATTTCATTCAAAATGCCTTCTCCCCCTTCTTTCCTCCCACCGAAGAGGGCTGCACCGTTTCGGTATTCAAAGTCTCTGCAAAGTTTTTTTTTTTCTTTTCTTTTTCAGGCCACATTTCTCTGACTTAAAGTCACTTTGTCTCGCATGAGGAGACGCGGATAAAAGCGTGTGAAGTTTGCGTGAATTGATATGTTTCGGTGTACCTTATAAATTCATACCTTTTCTCACTCGAGCGCCTCGGAAAGAAAGTGTCACTCAGGCCAATTCTCTCTGCTGTCCGACGCATTTAGCAGGAGATCTATTTGAGAAGTTCATTCCTAGGCAAATATATGCAGGCGCGGCTCTGCGTGAATAGAGCAGCGTGTCAGCCGACCCTAATTGGGATTTAGCCACCCAAAGCACACGCACAAAGTGATGGAAAATCGCCGGTTTCAAAGAAAGTCGCAACTTTTGCCCTTCTTGGTGAATACAAGGAGCTGCTCCAGCTCCGACTAAAACACCATTTTCTTATTCGGGTGGAGGTTAGTGACCCAACTGGCTGTGCGGCGTGTTTCTGCAAACCGAACGTGGGAGAAAAACATCCATGATGGCAAAGAGCATGTTTAAAGTCGCGTAACCTTGACTGGCCTGTATGTTTGAACGCGGCCATATGTTTAAGCTAAAGTCATGGTTATTACATGAACAGATATTTGAATTATTCTGTTGTATTCTTTTATAATACTCAGTTAAAATGTTTTATGTTTATTAATCGGTCATACAACACGAATGCTAATATCTATGATAATAATAATACTTTTTATTATAGCAATGATGGTGATGAAAACACAACAATAAGTAACAATAATGACAATAATGGGTTTACATTTGCCAAATATAAATAAAAATAAAATCCACTTTTTTGTATTGAAAATATTAGGGAGTTCTTTTCAATAAACAGTTTGCATCTATTATTTATTTATTTGAACGATAAGACACTCGTCTCTTCTAATGCGTCCGTTTTTCCACCGTGTAGAGGGAGCACCATGGAGAGCTCCGATTACACACACACACACACACACACACACACACACACACACACACACACACGCACACACACGCACACACGCACACACACACACCGTCTCCTAATTACATTGCACAATATTGACGTGGAGTGAATTTATCTCCCTGAACCTGAGTTGAAATGTAAAGGCCGCTGATCGTTCGGGTTGGTTGCACATTATTCATTTGCGGTAACAACATGTAATCTAATGACCGTCTCGTGGCTGCTCGTTACATCTCCGATTGACAGTTCTAGGCTCAAACTAATTGTCTCCCGCGTCTTCGGGTGGGATGAGCTTGTGGAAAGGATGTGCGAGAGAAGTATTGATTGCTTCAAGTCAGTGCATCATCTTTTTAAAATTGACTCAATTACGGTAAGATGCAGATCTTAGTTTGGGCTCCAAATAATAGGTAATTATTAGTTTTTGTTTTAACTGGATGGTCTTCCCAGTTTTTGTCATCTAAAAGTTTGATTATAGAAAATATTTTGAAGAAAACTGTTTTCATAATACCTTCGTTTTTACTATTTATTACACATGTAATTTATTTTTAGCATTTTTGGGAAATGTTTTGGTTCTCTAAATTCTCAGGTATTCAAGAGATGATGATTATGATGATGTTGATTATTAGGCCCTGACATATTTTGGAATATTTTCTTTTCAATTATTGTGATCATTTTGATGTTGTTTTGACTAAATATTTCACTGTGAAATAATATGTTTTTGATCTTCACTTGACTTATAACTATAGCAATGTTTATGTCATTCCAATACTGCTAAATTCCCATCTTTTGTTGCAGTTTCTCTCAGTTTTGGTGTGTTGCATGTCTCTGCTCCAAACCCCCTGAGCAGGACACTGACTGTGTTTGGCATCTGCTGGCCAGATCCAATCGCTCCCGATCAGCAGCAGGAGGAAAAGGTGTGGATGTGGATGGAATGAGGACAGGAAACTGCTGTGTGCCGTCACTCTGCTGCAGGACAGAATTTGACTGACGGATTCCATAGCCCTCTAGAAAGTGTCAGGGTGCCCCTCATGGCCCTCAGGTTATTCTGCCTTTCTCTCAGTTTTGCTGTTGCTTCGTACTACTTCCTTTTCCTTTTTCCACTTCTTGTCCTTCTAAGCCAAAACAAGTAAAATCTCTCTCAGTTGAACAAAAAATATAATTTTAACAGCATGTCATGAATATAGTATTGAAAATATCCTTTGTGCTTGTATACAAACAATGAAAAAGACAGCGTAATTGAATGCTGATAGCTTTATTTGCTGCAAGTACAAAAAAAGGAGGGCAGGGGGGCGCTAGTGTTACTAGTGAGCCATATATAAACCCTATGGGGTGAATGTTTCGCTCTCTGGCAAAGGGTCATTCATGGTGCTCTTGTCCAGGGCAAAGGGCAAAGGTCAGTGCCCAGACATGGGCTGTGGTCAGTGCAAAGCTCAGAGGGGCGGGGAGGTTTAAGGGCGAGGGGAGGTCAATTAGTAATTCATGCTGCTCATTCGTCGTCAGAGTCGTCGGCTGCACCGGTAATGATGTAGGTCTGTTCTTGGTGGTCCATCTCCAGCACCTGATCCTCATTTTTAACTGTTCTGCAGGGGAGGACAGAAAATGCAGAGGACTCAAGTATCCAAGAGAAGCTTTTTGTACCTTAAAGTGTCTGTATGTTGTTTTAGCAGGTTTAAACACTTTATTTCTTTTCAAAAGCATGGGCATGTCCGATTTTATCCTCTGAGTTTTACTGCTGCGATACAAACAATGTAAGGTTTAAAGAGAGAGAGAAATACATGATTGTACCTTTACCTAATGAGTACCGTCCTCCTCTCCGTCAGCTCGACGGCTTGCTCTGCGTAAGGCTCGTTGTTGTCGTCATATCCATCAGATCCGTATCCAATCCCGGACCCTCCAGTGTCACCCATTCCTCCACCAATCGTCCCCATTCCACCAATGCCTGACAGTGCAACACCTCCACCCACATCCTCAGTTCCTCCATCGCCTCCGATTCCGCCACCCCTCCTGTTAGCACCCAATCCATGATCTGTACCCGCAGCTCTACCTACGCCTCTGCCAATCCCATCACCCGTCGCTCCACCACCATTTCTTACACTAAACCCTGTGCCGGTGCCCAAACCTCCTGCCCCATTACCCACACCGATGGCACCACTGCCCAAATCGCTAGCACCAGTGCCCACACCTCCAGACCCCCCAATGCCACCCCCAGCACCATCACCATTCATTTCTTTAGCCCCCACGCCTCCCCTGCTTGACAGTACCCCCAGCCCCAGTACCAGCTCGTACACCTCCACCCCGAGCTCCCAATCCATGAAGGCCACCCATATCCGCCCCTCCTGCCCCACCAGGACCCATTTTGTCATCCGGACCACCAGCGCCACCCATTCCTCCAGCCCCACTGCCTTGAACCCCGCCCATGCCCCCTGCACCAATTCCCCCACCCATCGCTACTCCACTTCCTATGCTTTCACTCCCTCCGCTATTACCTCCCATCATGCCGCCGCTCATTCCACTAACACCACCCATGCCTCCTCCACCTCCTCCTCCTCCTCCACTGAAGCTCATCCCGCCACCAATGGCGCCCATTCTACAGCTGGTAAGGGACAGGGTTTGCATCATGCCAGAGAGCCGCAGATCCTCTCCTTCAACAAGTTTTCTGTAACAAAAAACATGATTGTATTTATTTACAAATATGTCATGGCACTAAATCAATTATAAGGCATTTTCCTTCACCTGTATGTTGTTATCTCAATCTCCAGAGACATCTTGACATTCAGAAGGTCCTGGTACTCGCGCAGGTGCAGTGCAATTTTCCCCTTGGTGGATTTTAGCTCAAGCTGCAGGGCCTCAATCCGAGCCTATTAAGTTAATAGAGACCTTGTTATTACTGTTAACAATGAATTACTGTGGTGGCTTTGTGTCTACATACACAAAAGGAAGCGTAGCTGCATTCTGGGAGGAGTCAATCTTTACCTGCAGGTCTTCTAGTTCTATCTTGTACTTCTCTTGTGCCTCTCGGATCTGGGCCTCAAGAGCTTCATTTCTGCTCCTCAGTGAATCCAAGTCACGGTCTTTGCTTTGGATCTGGAGATATTTTTATGATTTCGGTAATTGAATATTAGATGTCAATCACGCTTGGTTAATTCATTACCACTTTGGATACTCACATCCTTTTTGGCACCTGCTATTTCATCTCTAATGCTTCGAACCTTGTCCACGTGCCTTGACGTCTTACTGGTTAGATCTTCAAACTTGTTTTTATACCATGAATCCATCTCCTAAAAATCAAACGTAAAAAATTCACATTCATTAAAATAAAATAAAAACTTGACCTCAGACCGTGCTGGTGTGCATTTATATTACCTGGAGATTTTTGGCTGCGATGTCATCGTACTGCGTTTGGATCTGTTTCAAAGCAGCTGCCAGGTCAGGCAGGGCGAATGCACTCTGAGCTGATGCGTGAGCTGAGTAAATCTGTTTCATGAGCTCCTCAATTTCCTGGGAAACAGTAAATTGTTAGGAATCTTAAAAAAACCGGAAGGCAGACCAGATACTTTTGAAATGAAGATAGCATCCACCTGTTGATGGACCCGTTTTAAGAATTCAATTTCAACTTCCATCTGCTCCAGCTTCTTCTCCAATGCAATGCGCGAGGAGGTGGCTTTGTCAACATCCTGATGAACACACATCATGTTATAATGCACGTTCGAAAGTGTAAATTAATTGACAAAATTAGGGTTTGACAAAAGGGTTATTGGCCAATTATTTGTGACATACTGGACGGAAGGTTTCAATGTCTAACTCAGCTTTCCTCCTCAGCTCCACGGCCTCCTCATATTTGATTTTGATCATCTCCAGTTGAGCAGCTGTGGACTCCTTAGACGCCAAGGAAATGTTCTGAAAAAAAGAAACCAGAATTAATATGATCATGTATTAGATTTGAAGGTGTGTCTGAGAGTGCATGTACAATTTAGATTAGCCACATTTGCATTTGATATCTTAACTTCATTCATGTGTGCGTGTGTGTGTGTTTTCAGATGGACAATCAAGGCATCTCATCTGTGCATAAAACATTGCTGAAGACAGCTGTACTCCATGACACCTTAACGTGCCGAGGCACCTCTCCATTTGCCTGCCAGAAATAAGCCTGTTACCAGGTAAGGAACCTTGAAAACACCAAGTTGACGTCTTGTATCGTTGCTTGGATGGATCCAGCGACAGCTCAGTGAGGTGTAAACCTCGCCGGAAACAAAAGTATTCAGTCCTCACGCTCTGCTGAGCGTGTGAAACATAAAAGGAGAATTATAGGCGATGTGCGGCTTGGAAAATTCTGTCTCACCCGCTGAACTCTCATCTGGTCGGCAATCTTTTTCAGCTCCCTCAGCTGCTCCTCGTACAAGAGGCGCAGACCTGATGGACTCTCAAAGCGGTTCTGATAGGCCTCGATCTCCGTCTCCAGAAGCTTGTTCTGCTGCTCGAGTGAGCGAACCTGTGAGCACAAACAAACAACTCCTCTGTGATTACAAGTGCGTCAGAACCAGGCCCCACAATCTGTTCCCGCCTGTGCTCAAAGAGGTAAGAGTAATATGCACCCATTTCTCAACAAAAGGCGTTTTTAGCCAAGCTTGACAAATATGAGTCCAATGCGGTTAGTTTGAAGGCTGTTTTTACCTTGTCAATGTATACAGCCAGTCGGTCATTGAGGACCACCATCTCTTGTCTTTCAGTTGTGCGGGTGTGGAGGAATTCTTGATTTTCGGCTGAAGCCACGTCCAGATCTATAGGAAGTTCTCCACTTGGCCCAACACAGACCAAGGCTCCTGCACTCGACCTGAAAGGTTGACCGTGAGCCAAACAGACATTTGAGGAAGGGGTGGATGGCATTTCAAGAGGAAAAAATTGATGACGATTTTCATAATTAGTTATTACAATGACAAATGATCTAAAATCACCCATAAAACCCTAAATCTGTCCCTCTGTTCAGGCACTGTCGCTTACCCTACTCCTGCCATCCGAGGCCTTCGTGCATTCGAGGTACTCCTCCGTCCCGCTGACTCCACGCGCATGCCGCCGGCCCCACCTTGGCAGCAGTAACCGGCGGAGGCATGACGGGTGTCTCTCCTGGCGGGGGATAGGCTGGTCACCCTGACCTGGTAGGACGAGCTGCTGCTGTCCTCAAAGTGTCGGCGGTAGGACGAGATCCTATCTGGGCTGCGGCTCATGATGGCGGCAGCAAAGGCGCTTCCTCTGGCTGAAGATGAAGGAAATACTCAAGCAGGGCCACTCGGTGTTTGCTGCAGTTCACTGTTCCACCAAGTTTGCACTACCCTGATATCTCCCCAGTCGCTGTTTTATACTGGCCGTTGCCTGCCATACCCCCCGCTCGGTCAAAGAGAGCCCAGTTCATGATCCCACACCTGTGGAATGTCGTACCTCTACGCCAAATCAGGCTTCACCTGCCACTCAGATATCTGCCAGCAGCCTGTGAGGATCAGAGCTGGGCTGTTATAGTAGCTTAGTCATAGTCATCACCCATTAGTCCTTCTGGAAAACCCAAACTGCAATCCTTCATTAGTCTCCCTTTTATCAGAACCACAGTGGATTTTGCTTGGATTATTGTACATCCACCACCTCGTTGTCCATTACAGCACTAGACGGCAGACAGGCGGGCAGGGTCTGCAAGCAGTAGGTGCAGCACTGACGTGATCTGCTCTGATGGGACGAGGGACTTTAATTGAATGCTGAGCCGAAGCTGGAGGGGGACCTGAGGAGGCTGCGAGTGCAGAGGAACAAAGAGCCCCAGCAGGATTTGACATGAATGAGCACTTATTTGTCTGATGCGTTTTCAACATATTAAAACCACAGTAATCATGGAAAAAAAGAAAATGAAATTAACTGCTACGCTAAGGGGGAATGAAAAGGAGAGGGAGGGGTACGGTCTGGAGTTTATGGTTGACATGGCACAGTGATATGAGGGGAGAAAACAGTGCGTCCGTCCCAGGGACACTTCTTTATTGATACCTTCAGGGTCACTTGGTCTGCGGTAATCACGCAACTGAGCGTAATATCTACTGTAAACATAAAATACCAGCAACACACACACACACACACACACACACATCTATTTCTTTCAGCTGAGACCTTGCAGCAGCGTGGGACTTTTTGGGGAACCGTGGAACCGGTCACGTAAACGATCCATCTCCAGAGGAACAGCCCTCTCCATGTGCCGACCAAATAGCATCCGTCATCGTTGTGGTATTTTCTATTACAGATGGCCTATTTAAAGCCTCACTTCAAATGCACACACAACCCCACCTTCAACGTCTAATTGTTTATTCAGCTAAGAATTCCGAAAGGGAACACAGGATTGAGAAAAGTTTGGACGTGATTCTTTCTGGATTCATGTATTGCTTTTTTGTGTCTTCATGAGACAAAATGTGAGGGTGCAGTTACACGATATAGACTCACAGAGGTGCTTTAACAGTTAAATATATCCAAGGTTCCCTTTGCTTGCTGGGAGAATACTGTTTATAATATGAAGACAAATGGCAGTAACACCCGTGAGACAGATTATTTACTCATTTATCTTTGAGGTCAGTTCCCCCAATGACCATGATTCAACAACAACAAGACTGCCTCTAAATTCTGTGACGGACAGACCCTTAATAAACTAAACATGATAAAGTCGTAAGTGGGACCTGTTTGGACTTTCAGCTCAAGCAGTAAAAGGGTAAGATAATGGCGAACAAGTTCTACGGCAGAGGCCTAGAAACTAGTTGAGGTGTTGACAAGGGAAGATCTAAATGTTCCCTGAAGGGTGGGTGGCAAATTCATACTGGGACATAGTGGTTATTAGACACAGTCCTTCAACGCCGTAGATCATCTTCGTCCGGCAGCTGTCACCACAGCAAGCAACCCAATATGCATACCGCAAGTTATTCAACTAACAGTTGTTTTAAAAGAATTTAAGAAAATTATGATTACAACATCTCGGTTTATCAGAACTATGATTGTAATTATTGAATGATGTAAGCAACAACTACAGATGCATCTATGAGCATCAACTACAGATTGGTACAGTTAATTTTAATTCACCATCATGTAGAGAAAAGAAGTAATTTGCGTAGTTCATGTAGAAATACACACACTTACATTACGAGTATCGCAGTAACTTAGAATTTCATTTTTAGCAGCAGAGATGTGCTGGTTGATATGCGCTGAGCCCTCTGGTTTCACTCGTTGAGGTTCACAGATGAGGACAAAAAATCAAGGAGTCAATTAAAAGTCTGAGCTCTGTTGAAACCCTTAAAGTTGGATTCCATTTTGCCTGTTTCAACATCCCTGGATCACTTCTGCTGTTCATTCTTCTCCCAGTCTAGCCATCCACCGAGGTAATTCTGAACACTAAAACAGAGGTAAGAGCAGACAAAGTCAATGGAATGTTAGATAAAAAGACAAGAGTCGGGAATCAAACTGCTTTTGTGTTTGAATGTTATATTATTGAGTAGCACTCTGCATGTGCTACTTAGATAAAAGTCAAAAGAGCACTGCATGATGGGTTGGCGATGCAATTATCTCAAGCTATTAAAACATGGTGTGAAAGAAAATCTTAGTTTTTGGTAAAATACAACAATGTAATATAAGGAATATATAATCACATTCCCTAGTGGATTGTGTGGAGATATATATGACAGGTGGGCGTATCCAAATGTGTGTGTGAGGGGTGTAGGGCGTGTGTATGAGTGTACATGTATTTATTCATGCATCAATCCATTTGATCCATGTATATATATATATATATATATATATATATATATATATATATATATATATATATCGTTGTAAAAGCTTACAATTGAATAATAAGATATCGTATTCGACACATCCTATAAGTGAGTAGTTTAATAGTTTGTGGACTTGACAATGAGACCAGAAGAAGAAGAGAAGATCTCACTCTTTGTATCCCAACGAGACGGCTGTGTCCAGCGCTTTAAGGCTCCTGACCCCTGACCGGCAGGTGAACACGATGTTATCCGTCTGCTGGGGCATCACAGCCCCATACTTTTCATGGAACTCTTCCTGAGCCAGCTGGAGGGCAGTGTTCACCTGTCCCACTGCAAAGTCAAATAAACATGTGAGTGGCAGCCAGTGGAACTTAAAATATGTGCTGTTAGATAAAAACATACCAAATTTGTCGATGACCTGCACATAACATCAACTGTCCGCATACTACATTTGTATATTGGTCTAACAAGGGGGCAGGTTAATTTGTGTTTCAGGGGAAACGGCACTCACAGGGAACGTTGATGGACCCGGGGATGTGGCCGTACTCCATAAGCTCTGACGGCTCCCTGACGTCTATGACCACAGCTTTGCGCCCCGCCAGGAGCCGCTTCAGCTGCTCATAATTCACACCTGCGCTCGATGACGCAGCGCTGAACCGACAGTGCTGCATCTCTGCGGCTGAAAGCGGAAACACACACACACACAATGTGGACAATTTCAAAAACGTGAGCAAGAGTTAAGAGCAACCCGGGTGACTTTCACACTGACATTGGCCTCACAAAAAGCTCACCTTTACAACGGCGGTCAGTGATGACAGGGCTGGACGCAGAGGTTCGTCCCGGGACGGGAGCTCCAGGCAGGGCGGGACTGTTCCGTAAGAGCCGCGGAGCGAGCGCAGCACACCTTCGGAGAGCCATGCGAGTAGTCGCGCCCTATGTTACACTTTATGTAACATAGAATAACTTTGCACAGATCCCATCAACCCTCGCAACCTTGATATGCACACCCTGAATAAACGTCAAGATTGTCACCTGTTTGGACTTTCAGCTCAAGCAGTAAAAGGGTAAGATAATAGCGAACAAGGTCCACGGATTACTCCTTAATCCTCTTTAGGTATCTAGTTTTCTACTCCTTTGAAAATAAAACATTTATTATCCTATATGACAAAGGAAGGTGTAAATGTTCCCTCGAGGGTGGGTGGCAAATTCACACTGAGACATTGTGGTTATTAGTAGGGCTGGCAATAGATTTAAAAAAATTAACGATTTAATCGCTCATTTTGAAATTCATTAATCTTGATTAATGGCGATTAATGAATATTGTTGTCACAATGTTATTTTTAATGGATGTTAACTACGTTAAAATATTTTGTCGCATTAATCTCGGCCACATTAATCGCATAGATTAATGTGTTTATGTTGACAGCCCTATTTATTAGACACAGCCCTTAAACACATACACGTAGATCATTTTTGTCCCAGCAGCTGTCATCTCGGCAAGCAACCCAATATCATAGCTGCCAACTCTCACAGTTTTGCCGTAGACTAGGTATCTTGATGTTGTGTCGTTCAATTAAGTACTCACTCTCTTTACATTACATTAAATTACAGGTCATTTAGCTGACGCTTTTATCCAAATGGACTTACAATAAGTGCATTTCAACCATCCTAACAACTTTGGGCCCCACAAACCACCAGATTGCAGGGCACAACATGGGTACAACGGTGGCAGCTGTGCAATATGCATAGCATGAGTTATTCAAATAACAGTTGTTTTAAAAGAATTAAAGAAAATAATTTTTACAAAACACAGATTAGACATCTCGGTTTATCAAAACTATAATTGTATTTATTGAATGATGTAGGCAACAATGACAGATGCATCTATGAGCGTTTGCATAGATCATGTAGAAATGCACACTCCTTATTATGTAGAGGCTTAGAGTAATCACAGATTACCCGTTGTAAATAGTTTATAAATAGTTTTATACTAATTAAATTACAAGTAGTATCGCAGTAGCTTAGAATTTCTTTTTTTGGCAGCAGAGATGTGCTGGTAGATATGCGCTGAGCCCTCTGGTTTCACTCTTTGGGATTCACAAATGAGGAAAAAAAGTCAATTAACATTCCTAAAAACCCTTTACAAGAAACCTTGTGACGCAAGCGTGCACCCTGCTTGCCAGTCTGATCTCTGTTGGATTCATTTTTTCCTGTTTCAACATCCCTGGATCACTTCTGCGGTTCATTCTTCTCCCAGTCTTGCCATCCACCGAGGTAATTCTGAACACTAAAACAGAGGTAAAAGGAGACAAAGTTGATGGAATGTTAGATAAACACATAAGTCAAAAACTCTTTTTCTAGAAAATCTTACTTTTTCGTAAAATACAACAATGTTTGCACTTGTAATATATAATCACATTCCCTAGTGCGTTGTGTCAAGATGTATATGACAAGTGGGTCTATCCAAATCTGTGTGTGTGTGTGTGTGTGTGTGTGTGTGTGTGTGTGTGTGTGTGGGGTGTAGGACGTGTGTAGGAGTGTAGATGCATTTATTCATGTATCAATCCATTTGATCTATACAGTATATAGATGATGAAATACATACAACCCTCATGTCACATGTCAGCTTTTGCTCGACTCGGGCTAAACGTTTTTACAGTGAACAATAACAAGATATGTAAGTTGACACTTCCTATAGGTGAGTATATAAGGAGGAGGGGGACACGTCTCACTCTTTGTATCCCAACGAGACGGCTGTGTCCAGCGCTTTCTTGCTCCTGATCCCTGCCAGGCAGGTGAACACGATGTTATCCGTGTGCTGGGGCATCACGCCCCCATACTTTTCATCAAACTCTTCCGGAGCCAGCTGGAGGGCAGTGTTCACCTGTCCCACTGATCAATCCAATAAGCAAAGACAGGTGAGTTGCAGCCAGTAGAACTTGACATATGTGTGCTGTTGCATATAAACAAAAACATGTATATTGGTCTAACAAGGGGGCAGGTTCATTTGTGTTTCAGGGGAAACGGCACTCACGGGGAACGTTGATGGACCCGGGGATGTGGCCGTACTCCCTGAGCTCCCACGGCTCCCTGACGTCTATGACCACAGCTTTGCGCCCCGCCAGGAGCCGCTTCAGCTGCTCGTAACTCACACCTGCGCTCGATGGCGCAGCGCTGAACCGACGGAGCTGCAGCTCTGCGGCAGAAAGCGGAGACACACACACACACACACACACACACACACACACACACACACACACACACACACACACACACACACACAATATGGACAACTTCAAAAACACGAGCAACCCGGGTGACCTTCACACTGACATTGGCCTCACAAAAAGCTCACCTTCACCACAGCGGTTAGTGACGACAGGGCTGGAGGCAGAGGTTCGTCCCGGGACGGGAGCTCCAGGCAGGGCGGGACTGTTCCGTAAGAGCCGCGGAGCGAGCGCAGCACACCTTCGGAGAGCCATGCGAGTAGTCGCGCCCTATGTTACGCTTTATGTTGACAAGTACTTTGTATAAACCCGTACGCACGCAATGACACTACACGCGACAACTAATGTAAACAGAATAACTAGAACAGTTCCGCGGCAAATGTGATATGCGCATGCGCCAGAGTATGGCACCCGAGAAGGACAAACTACTCCGTCCTTTCACTTTTTAGCAAGTGCAAACACGTCATTACCCTAATACTTTAAAAGTTTAGTAATTTTCGATTCAATAAAATCCATTTTCTGAAATAGATACCACTGCTGAACCAACACAATATAAAATACATGGGATGTGTAGTAGTAATAGTATAGGAAAGACGCAACAGGGATGATATCCACATCTGACCAGTAATTTATCAGTAGGCAGGTGTGCCTCGGGCTTACTTCTGCTCCCCTTGACGCTAAAGAAACAAATCACACTAAAATATATTGGTTACATCACGTGTAAGCATTGGGTTTGATAATGATGTGTGATAAATAATTGAGGCCATATCTCGTACAGTTAATTTAGTTTGCATCCATAGGACACAGTAGTGGACAGTCATTTTTTACTACCTTTCCAAATATTTGGTTTCTTTAAATAAAAGTTGACAACAAACCGTTAGGTGTTCCACGTGTTACCTAACATTATCAAGCTCTTTCACAGAACCGGTAACGCTTTGCCTTTTAGGGAAATGTTCCATTGTACGTGAATGCAGCACCGTGGGCCACTGAGCCACCGTAGTGCGTCACATGTTGACTAGTTTGCTAGTTGATGCTACCGAAAGCTCCCAAATATATAGAAACCAAACAATTATACGAACAAGTATAAAGATATATGGGCTGTATTCGTCGGTGCACTGAACATATTTTTAAATGCGTTAATATTTTTTGCTTTTGTTGGATAAAACACACATGTTAGTGGTTTATGTATCCAGACCAGCTAACGTAGCTAGCCTGTTTGCTAGCCAGGAAGAGTTGACACCTCACTGTTGGCCTTAGGTTATCTAACACAGTCAACATAGGAGCTAAAATACAGAGGTGAGTTCATGCTGCTTCTTCATCAGGTCGAGCATTGAAAAGCTGTTCATTCGTAGTTGAAATACATTTGATACGTGACATATGTGCGTCTAATGCTTACCAAAACTGGGTTCTCGGGGCAGGTTGAGGCTTTCTAACCGTGTTACTGCACATTACTTAATAGTTATATAGGATCGCTTTTTATGTGGCTGGCTATATTTATAGTGGTCGATAAACTATGCACTCCTTAAGTATATGCATGCGTTATCTGTTTTTTAGCCCAGTCCTCCTGTGCAAATCTTTAAAACATGATAACGTTGGTGTGACTGGGGATAAGGGGCTTACAGCTGTGAGGGTGGTCACATGGATACAGGACGTGTTTTAAACAGTGGAATATTGTTGACAGGCCAAGTCATTAGACCCCCTGAGCAGTGTCTGTAGAGACTATACCGAATGTGTAAAAGCCTCCATAACTAGCATAACATGGTAGCAGGCCAGGCCTGTTCTCCCAGGGAAGAGACCAAGAAGGCTGTTCCTAAAGTGAACACTATGTATAAACACGCTTAGAGTTCATCTATTGCAAATGTAAATATCTTCCAAACATTGTATATCCATTAGGTTACTGTAAAAATCCTCAGAGACTGCACTGTAGCTTATCAAAAAATAGTGTTTAACCAAAAGTAGAGTTATCATAGTGCAAGCTTTGCAACATGCATGTATCTTTGTTATAACATGGTTCCGTCAAAGCAGTTTAATCTTGCATAGTAAGACTCACATTTGTCCTTCTCGTTTCCGATTTCCACAGCTACAGATGCGGCTAAAGGACCCTTTCTCTCTGAAAGCCGCCGATATGACTAAGCGGACTAATAAACCGAGAAAACCTCGAGATGAGGAGTCCTCAGATGAAGTCAGTGGTAAGTCACTGAAGCAGCACCGGACTGTTGAAGTTGAGTGTGCTTTTGAGTGCTAGCACAGTGGATAAGATAAGGTGGAATTTTCAGGTGTGGGAAAACCTATTTAGCTGTATTCCCAAAGCAGGATAGTTATATTGAATATATGAATCATCATAGTACAGTAAAACGTTTTAGTAATTTACAAATTACATGCGTCTCCTGCCCTTGAACGTTTCCAGTGTAGAAATATCTGCATCATTTTAAAAACAACCAGTGATCACTTTTATAATTTCCTTTACTAGTGAAATATCCAAAAAGCAGGATTCGTCTCACAATGGATGGTATATACTGCATACATGATTATATTTTGTGGGGACGTCCCACCAAATGTAATTTACAGCAGGTGCGGAGCACATTGTCTAAACTGGTCGCTAAAGGTCCTTGGAAGGGAGGTTGGTCATAAAAGCATGTTTTTAAAAAATGTCAGGGTTGACTTGCCAACATGTGAGTAAGGCGGTGGACCTCAGCTCGGTGAAGAAATCCGTGCTCTCCAACGTGTGGTTGGTGTGCGCCGAGTGCTTAAAGGAGAGGACTCTGATTGATGGAGAGCCAGCAGCCTCCCATGACATCCTGGTCTGCCTCAAGTGCGGCTTCCAGGTAGGAATTGTTTTGATTGTTTCACAGTACAAACACACTTGATATTATGTTTGTAATTGTCCTCAAAATGCTAGTGCACATCATCACCAATAACCAAGATTACCAAAACCCTAAATATCATCGCCATTTTGATTATTTGATGTCTATTTACTTCTATGCAAGTAATAAATTGTTGACGAGTAAATTATGGCACCGGAAATATAAAGAGACAGCCACACATGTTATCTTCTAGTTTCTTTATATGGAAGATTTAATCCCGTATTTTTTAGATTGAAGTTATTTTTTTCCAACAATAATAATATAATGCTTACACTAGAATTTTGAATATTTAAAAATGTAATTGACACAAAATTGTCATTGTTATTTGACAAATGCCTCTGTAAATCAATACAGCAGATACATGCATACATACATACCTACATACGTAGGTATGTAGGCATGTATCATACATATACACATATACAGCTGGTTGCATATTGCAAATTGGGCTTTATTGAGGTGGAGATGAACCAGTCTTTTAACATGGGCTTGTGCATTGTGATATGCACAAACACTAAACTCATTGAAACAAACCTTGTCACAGGGCTGTAACCAGTCGGGGATCCAGCACGCTGTGAGGCACCACCAAGCTTTCCATCCAGAGTCTCACTGCATCACCATCAGCTTGAGCACGTGGAAGGCCTGGTGAGAAATCGCCGCATTCATTGTGAACCGTGATGAAAAGCCAAGCGTGCACGCCGCACCAATGTGTGTCAACTCGCCGTGACACATGTCGAGTAGGCGGCAGTGTGAGCTGACATAGAAATCAATAGGCGTGGGCGTCCTGACTGACGCATGTCACACACGCTGTAGGTGTGTTGTCTAAAATCCCGCCTGATCTTTGCTACCCCAGTTTACAGGGCAGTTTCAGTTTCTACACCATTATTCATTCTTTTACTTAATTTCATTGTATTTGATAGTGTACATGCATGGTTCTCCACTTTGGCCAAATAATTCCGTTCTCCAAATATGTTTTGTGTTTTGTTTCAGTTTCTGCAGTGTTTTAAATTTCCCCAGTGACTTAAAGCTGTTCCGTCTCTGCCCACCACCTCGTCCCTTTGTCACAGGTGTTTTGAATGTAATGAGGAGCTCTCCACGCATTGCAACAAGAAGGCTTTGGCACAGACCCTGGACTTTTTACAAAAGCACTCTGTGAAGGCAACATCAGGTAAGGAGTTTGGCAACATCAAAAAGCTTTTGTTAGAAACGTGTATCTCCTCTGCAGTTTCAGCGAGGCTGAAGGCACTTCATTTGGACTTCTAAGGACACATTACTTTCATTTTTGTCATAGCAGAAATTTAACCAAACATTTTTAATTCTGGTTATAATAATCTATAAAAGGCTCAGAATTATTTGTAATCATTTGTGAAGCTCAAACAGGGTTTCAAGTGCCTAATGTCTTATTGTCTGCAGCAAACCCAGCACAGTAAGCTCATAGCAGAATATCACCACGACTGTCCATGAAACTACAAAATCCATGACTGCTAATCAAAATGACCCGTAATACAGATTGACTGATTCACCTGGCCACACGCATTCAGATGTGCTGTTATTATTACCTCCTTACCAGGAACTGACTGCAGCACACCTACTCCCCCTGGTGGCAGTGGTCGTCTGCATGCCCGTATCTCACCTGTCACCCGTGCACAGTAATTATGCAGCACCGCAGTGTGACGGGTGACAAGCAGCGACTTCACCCAGCGGATTAGGGCCTAAGGAGCCTTTTTTTCTTTCCTTCTAATGGTTATATAATTAAATGTATCTTTAACATTGATATAACTAGTCATATATCTATGATTAGAAACATACATTTCATAATCCCTATTGCATATTGTGTTTGACTGCCTGACTGCCTACTTTCAGTCTTAAGTCCTCTCAGGCCACCTGAGCCCTACTTGCCCAGTTAGTCGACCGCACACACACACACACACACCTTCTGTCTCTGCCTCCCTGCATCTCGCCTGCTTTGTGGCCTCCTGACCAGGCTGTCACAGATCGGGTGTTGGGCTTCACCTCTTTCGGTCTCACTGACCGCCTCGGCTTGGACCAGCATGCATAGTGCCAGAAGTCGAGGTCCAGTCAGGCTGGTCCCCCCCCCCCCGCCCCTCCCACCTCATCAGTCCCTCCACCACAACTTCAGAATTGCGTGCTTAGTGCCGCATCAATCCCCCACCCTACCGCGCCGCATGACTGCACGCGTTAGCGGATTTAGGCGCTCGAGCGACGCTTCCCGGCTGGGTTCCCTGAAGAACAAGAGCAGCTGCGCGGGGGTTCAGCCACTGCCCCGCCGCCCTTTGTCTCTCCATCGCTATCCGTTTCCGTCCCGCGCTCCCTCCGTGGAGCCGTTGTATGTCTCACCACCTCTGGGCCTGTGTGCTGCACTAGTGGGAGCCGGGGGTCCTCAACAAGTCGCAGCGACGGCATCCTGGCAGCTGCAGTGCGGCAACTCTCAGTGGAAATCCTCACGGACACACAAACGCAGAATGTAGAAATGATCCAACGCTTTTTTCTCTCTTTCTATGTCATATATTTGTTGGCCGCTACAAATGGTTCTGCGTCTCTGTCGGGATTATAATTAGTTGAACTCTTGTGTATTCTTTGCAAAAAGGGAGCACAAGCTTCTGCAGGAACAGAACCTGAATAACTTTTATTTGCCAAGTACATGACATACCTGAGGAATTTTCAGATTTTTGGAGTAAAACCTGTTTTCAGAGGGCCTGTATAGTTTGTCTTTCTAGGCTCCACCCGGGCACACAGAGTTTTGGGGACAGACAGGACCTCCGAGAGTACAAGGAATGAACAGAAGTATTAACACATCAGATACAGTGTACAGTTTGTCGTCAAATGCACACATTTCCAGCTTCTCCTTCCTGCTGCTCTTTACAAACCTATTGTTTCAAGTTTGAATTCCCCATCACTCTTCATTTAGCTTGCGTGCTGCTCTTCCAGTTTTCAAACAAACCCCCGCATAGCGCGCCGGCGCTTTGGACCAGATGAACAGAAAAGACGGGATGAGCAATTTGTGTGTGTTTTTACATTGTCCCTTTGTCCGCGGAGCCGCCATGTTACGGACACGTTGCAAACCGGGGCTCGGCGGGAAAGGCTCTGCCCGGCTGGACAGTTGCTGCCCACAACTTTCCCCTTCTGCTTCTTTAAATTACCTGTCACTTGTCCTGCCACCCAATTGTTCCACACCGGTTGGCCGTAGCGATGTAGAAGCAGGCGGCCATTGTTGCGGCAAAATAGGCGGTTGTTGTGTGTTGAGGAGCTTGTGAAATTGCATTTCAGGATGAAGGCCATGTTTTCAGAGGAAGCTGCTGTTGTACCGTTTTTGCCAGAGACCCAAAGCACAAAAGAACCCCAGCAAGGTTTTTTCTTTTTTTTTTCTTTCAGAATCTATAATAATTTTGTGCAACAACAGCTCAGTTGTGGGGAAAAAAGTCGATTAAATGTGCTCTCTCACCATGAAGGCTTTCAACTCAAGTACCAGAGTCCCAGTAAAAAGCGAATTGACCTCAGGGAGCCAGACTCCGGCTTGTAACACAGCTGGGGGGTCTTTGTGGAGCAGATTACAATGTTGGCTCTGAATAGGCACCAGAGCTCGTCTCTCATTGGAATTGGTCAAATCCGTCTTGTTTTATGGTAGCAGTTGTTATCAGTCACTGTGTCGTTGTGTTACCACACTGTATTTATATTTCTTATGGCACATTCTCAACTCAAAGAATCTCTTATAAAAGGATTTAGCTTGATGCTAAATTGAGTATTTTATTTCATCATATCGACATGGTTAATAGAAACTTTCATTTGATGGACTCCTGAGATATTTGGGCAAAATATATTCGGTGCAAAGGTTAAATCTGTATAAATCTATATCTAACAAAGGGCCTAGTCCATCTTTCACACAAATTTGTGCGACATAGATATTTAATTGGGCCGGGCAAGTTAACACGTTATTATCCTGTTAATGTATTCATTCATTAATTAACGCTGACATTTACTTTATCTGGTGTTAACGCGGTTTTAAAAAAAATATTATATTGAAATTCCGTTGCTCACTTACACATACAGACAAACCGTGGCTCACAGGATGGGGCGGGGATCAGCATTGGCTCAGGACGGGCACATAACCAATGAGAGCATTTGGGGCGGGTTTAAAATCTCCTCCAGATTCCCGGTTCGACAAAGAAAATTTACCTGCGTCACTGAAATTGTGTTTTTTTTCTTCGTTTTTTTTAAGACTGAGATTATCTTGTTCAAACATGGACTTAAATTGAGTACATTAAGTTAAAAAATGACAAAAATAATATATAAAGTAGTATATAATTAGTTGAACCCTCTTGTTTTACACACACACACACACATCAATTGCATGCTCCACAGAGGCAGAATTGTTTGAAAGCAGGTTCTGCACGGCATCAACACGGTGAGTTTACAAGAGATTTCAATGTATTTACTTCAGCATCTAAATGCATTTCCACCGTGGTATGAAGCGCTGTCATGGGGGGAAGTTCATCATCTGCTCACGGTTTGACTGATGAGGGTCTCTAAATGCTGGAAGTTTCTTCTAACATCAAGTCATTTAAGAAACCGTTATGTGTTCAGATTACCCCAGGGCTCGCTTCCCCGAGACGGATACCTCTCTTGACTCGTCCTCCTCCGAGTTGAAGTCGATGATCTAGCGGGGATCACTGCACCTTCATTCACCTGGTTTTCTTGCCTCAGTTGAGCTCATCCGAGTCAAGATGCTTGTCCCCTGGTGGTGCTTTCATGGAGGTAATCAAGGGTGATCTTGTCTTTATTCCCACCACCGCACATGAAAGTAGGCCAGATAGTGGGTAGCAAAAGCTGTGTATGTGTGTGTGTGTGTGTGCGTGTTTGTGTGTCTGTAAGTAACGTGGCACTGGGCTCTTTTGGCCTCAGATGGCAATGAAACAGGCTTTTTGTGCCCTGCAGTCATAACAAATTAGTGAATTAATAAGACATTTGGTGTTTCCTGGCCTTCCTCCTGACTGCCTGCTCTGCATGAAGGGAGCTGGCCTCCAACCTCCACACTGCTGCACTGTGTGTGTGTGTGTGTGTGTGTGTGTGTGTGTGTGTGTGTGTGTGTGTGTGTGTGTGTGTGTGTGTGTGTGTGTGTGTGTGTGTGCGAACATGGAGGAGGCATGAAGCCCACTGGCCGTGGGATTGAACGGTCTCTAAGCCAAAAAGTGAATCACATCCGTAAGACGATGAAAAAAGAACACACTCAAGCTCGAAAATACTTGTTTGTTTTGATCTTTTTTTATACTGAAGGCTTTTGTTGAAGGACATTGACGTCCTGTGCACATTTAAATTGTAACGGGAGAGAAGCAAATATTGTTGTAAAACAAACTTGAAAAGAATACGCTTAGTTTCTGGCATCGTTTATTCAGCGTGCCTTGTTGTCTTACAGCTAAACAAAATGTCAAAACAATGCGTGGCAAAACACACATGTTTCAGTTTTGTGTCTTTTCTTTTTTTCTTTCTTTTTGTTTTGTTGCAAGGTGCAGTTCCCTAAGTAAACTAAGCCTCTGTCGGTCCCTTGTGTGAAAAAGAGCAGGCCGTGCAGGAGGTGTTGGTGTACGTGCGTGCATGTGGACAATCCGGAGCACCGGGACGCTCGCCTCGACCCCGGGGAAAGGCTCCGGTGCGGCGCTGCTGCCCACGCACTCGGTGGCTGAGCAAGGAGGGCCAGGTGGTGCTGCCGAGTGCGGCACAGTCAAGCGTGGGCGCATCGCACGCTGTGACATTCGCCCTCGCCGACTGCTGCGGGGAGAGGAAAAATCTGCTTTTCCATATGCTTGTGCTTCGCTGCAAACCTTCCCCCCCCCCACCCACCCACACCCTCCCTTGCCCCCCATCTCCCCAGTCTCAAACAGATGGCTCCCTGAACATTGTTTACCTTGGGTGGCGGTCCCAGATGCAGAGTGTGTCCATCGGCATCCCCATTCCGCCCAGTTAGCTTCCTCATTCCTCTGCTCCGGTCGAGGCCCCTCACACTCCACTCGCATTAAGTCCGTTCATGTCCTTGCTTGAATTTTTCTTTCGCCGATCATCTCAAAAACACCACATGTAGACGCGCCCATTTCAACTCTGTCCCGCCCTCAATTACTTTGTCTTTTGCCTTGGCGTTCGCTGTTGCGTGACCACATCTCTTTGCACCTTCTCAGGCTCGCAACACGTACAGAGATGCACGGTTTATTTCCCCTGATCAGCGCTTGTTTTCCATGCGTTGTGTGTGCCGACATATGGGAGCTCCCTTATGGCAGCCTATTGACGATGGAAATAGGCCTCCAGATGTTGCCAGCACGGAGGGCCAGATGCTTTCAGCACCACTGGGTGGAGCGCCGCAAAGCTGAACCTCGCCCCCTTCTTCGAAACCCCCCCACTTCTCCCTCCTTATCAGTGTTGAACGTTTGTCAGACAAAGCGATGGGAATATCAAGCGCCGCAGTCAATGCAGTGACAATGAAGAAAAGTACAATAACGTCGCAGTCCTGAAAGAGACCGTTTTTTATGCGTGTTCAAGTAACCGCCCGTCTTCCTCTCAAATCTCTTCCATTGGCAAAGTTGTCCTCGTACCCCCGTTTCCTTTTTTTTTTTTGTGGGATTTGAGTGCGTATAAAATGCAAATTGGCAGACCCCGAGTGAAAAGCCCACAGTTCACGTTCCGGTGACGTGGCTGGCCTTGGAGAGGAGGAGCTCGCGGCCGGCGGTGGAGTTGCCGCCGCTGCAGGTTGAATAGCTTTTTCAATAAATGTGTTTCCCAAGGCTCTATGAATTGAATATGTTCAAGGGCAAGGCAATTGTGTGTTGAGAAAAAAAGCGCGGGGGCAGGAGGCGGGTGGGGTTTGCAGGTTACTGGGATGAGTGTGATGGTGCACCGTTGAGTTGAACTCCCTGAGTTTAGACGTCAGCGAGGTCGGGGCCAGCGACCTCGCTGCCGGCCTGCTCTCTTGACTCGCTCGTGTGGGTGAAGTGCTTGTGGACCAAACTCTTTTTGTGTTCACCTGCGTTCAGTCGCTTCCTCTAAAGCCTGCGGACCCCGAGGCGCCGCCGCCCCTCCCTGCCAAAACCTGCCATTTTGCACCGACGTGTCTTAGTATCCGCTTCCTACAAAAGGAACTTTTGAACCGTTAAATTCTTCATGAAAATTATTGCACTTTATTCAGTCATTGTAATTCAACCACAATCTTTTGCTAATTAAAACACAAAAATATTAAAGAACCAGTTCAAATATTGTTGAGTCATGCCCTGGTGATATGACCATATGGCTTTGTTTTACCCTGTTCTGTAAAATGCCCTGAGCCAGCTGCCTGTGCCACTTACACGATAACGGAAGACACTAAAACATTAACATTTACCGTAACCCTCACATCTGAAAAGAAGCCCCTTTACTGCGATCACTAAAATAATCATACGAATACTTACCTGTCCAGTAAAGTCATTGAAATAGCAATAAAGCGGTATACGTCCCTGTAGATACCAGTGAGTTTCTGTATGCGGTGCCGTAGAGATCACGGGGGCCCTGTAGTACTCTGCGGATGTGTCATCCATCTTGAAGCCCATGATATCCTGCAGGAGGCTAAATGCCTGGAGATTTTCTCAATCCGTCAAACTTCTCCAACATCACATTGAGCGAACACCTCTCTGCCTCGATTAGCACCTCCTGACTTATCTCCCATTCATCGCTTCGCTCGTCTCCCTCCCCTAACTCTAACTCCATCAGCACCACCTCCGCTCTTCATTCTCTCTGAACAAAGTGTCATAGTGTTATAGCGTGTTCTTCACACACCAAGGGTTTCTCCCAGCTGCAGCTACCAATTCTACAGGGGAAGCGGTGAGAAGTCTCGTAATTATTAAAAGCGCAATAGTCTGTAAATGAATGTTACATTTGTGCACCCTTTAAATGACCCTTATCTTCAAACCTGCATGTGAGGCCTTTTTCAGCCGAAGTTTGTAATACTGTTTTAACAGATTCAAGTGTTTGTTGGTTGTACGGGTGGTTCTTTTTTACAGCTTAATTTGACTGTAAGTGTGTGATTGTGTAGGTTGAACAAGGCTCTCCATCAGTAGAGGCTTCGACCTGTGAAAATACAAGATAATGGAACTTATTGCACACGCTCAGAGCTTATTTCACTCTTGGCTCCACTGACCATCACAACATTTGTGTAACAAGGCAAAGTTTAGAAAATGTGGGAAAACCATTATGTGTTGAGTAGACAGGGGGCTTCAGTTTAACCCAAAGCTGTGGCTTCATCCGCCTGAGAGACCGTGCTTTGAGCCTGTTTCACGCCTTTCCCTTGAGCTCATCGAATCTATGACTGCTAGCACGCGTCAGTAGCAGTCCGTGATATTGAGTCATCGCGGTGTTGTTTTGTCAGCTGCTGGCAAAGCTACAAGACCTATTCCAGTCTGTGTGTCAGATTCTACCATCTGTGTCAGAGTTTCTGTTTCAGGTTAGTTTACGTTGGTGATCAGCAGTAACAGCTGTCTCGCTCTCTCTACAACCCCCACCCCTTCCTCACTAACCAGCGGAAACTTCTACAGCTGTCATCTGCTTTCCCAAATGACCCAGCGCTCCTTCCAGCTGCCGTCCCAGCAGCCTGCTCCCAGCCATAGTCTCGCTTCCAGGCTAAGGCCAATTCTTTCTGTATCCCGTCCCAGTCGCGTTGAAGAGAGGCCTCATTCTCACCTCAATCGCAAACAAAGCATTGCCTTCCCACCACCTCTGCTTTGTCTTTAAGCTGGGCTGCTAGGTTTCATACTCCCAAGTTATAATCTCAAAATAAAAGCCAAATCGGGGTTTAGAAATATCACTTTCTGTGTATTTCAAAGACAGCCGACACATCGTAGGCCCATCAGGGTCTGTTGGGGTCATTTCCAGGATTATGTGTCTCTCGGGTAATTTCACCAACGGACGATGCTTCAGTTTCTGCTACCGAGCATCAAGATAAGATAAAGCGATGGAGAGGTTTTTATTGTCATTGTTGTTGTGTTCCAGGAGCATCACCCAAGACCATCAAGTTGCAAGAGGAACCATCCGAATATGGCGACTCGCCTAAAGGCAAGAGTCCAGCAGCTAACAGCACGTTGGTCCCTGTCAAAGGCATAAACAACCTCGGTAACACCTGCTTCTTCAACGCCGTCATGCAGGTTGGTGTGATGATATATTGGTTCACATCTATTTACCAGGTATTTCTGTCGGGAAGAAACTTATATGAAATGTGGAGCAGCTATATTACGCCGCTCTGCTTCTGGCATTAGTGGAATGTGACACAGTACATTCCATTTCATAGAAATGTATATTCATGCATATTTTGAATACAGACCTTTTACTGCTGTGTAAATGCATTGGTTTAATGGTGATGACATCACGCAAAGTCGCACAAAATGAGACAGAGTGCATGTTTCAAGAGGAGGTCGGGTGGGTTGCCGACACCTACGCATCATTTCGGTTGATTATCAAACTGTGATGGAACAAAATAAAGTTTGGCTGGCCGCCACAATCCCTGAGTGCTGCTTCTCCGCAGCCTGGTCTGTAAGGCTGTAAACCGGCTCGGCCCGAAAGGGTCATTTCGAAGTATTTTCAAGGCGCACCGTCGACTCGGAGCCGGTCACCTCACCGCGCGTGAGTGGTACTCAGTTGGTGCAGAGCATGTTCACCATACAACACGGCCACAGAGGCTCCGCACTCTTCCTCTGGTCATGTCACGGCGACTGCAAACCAGCGCGCCTCCTCAACAATGAAGCTGTTTTTTTTCCGCCATTTTGTTAATCACCCTCAGGGCCTTCCTCGTTGATTGAAATTTGAGTGAGCACGCTTTTACACGGCGTTCCCTCCCCCTTGCCTGTCTGTTTATGTTGTCTCCTTGAAAATTGCAATCTTTTTGGTGAAAACACATAATTGTCAGGGGACGAGCTGTGTGTGCGTCCACAATGCCGGCTCCATTGTGCGTTTTTCCATAGCAACTGTCTTCCTTGCCAGGATGTGACAAAACAAATATCTCTTGAAAGGGAAGAAAGGGATGTGTTTCTAACAAGAAGGGACATTGATGGCTTCAGGCACCTCACCAAGGATCTTGTCCACATTGCAAACTCCCAGAAAACCTCTTTCAGAATAATGAACCCGCCACAAGTTTTCTAAATCCCACTACAGTGGAAATACATTTCTCGGGGGTATTTTAATTGACCACATTCAATTGCCACAAGCAAAGTTTGAATACAGTTGTAACTTCTTTTCCCCTCCACAAACCTGTTGTTGGGTCTTTTCATTGGATGAATAGTAAATTCTGCCCATGTTGAGGCAGTGATTTTATTAATTGGACTCTGGTGCTCAGTGTTGATCAAGCATGAAGTGTTAATGAAATGTTTGCAAAGAGCTCTCCAAATAGTCCTGTTCTCTCCACAGAACCTGTCTCAAACGCACATGCTCATCGACCTCATCCAGGAAGTGAAGGACAAAGGCTACAAACTGAGGATCAGCCCCACTGTGGACGCCACCGTGGTACCGTTTGACCTCCATCTCTTCTACTTTGCAAACACCGCAGTCTTTTCCCCGCTAAATGAATTGAAATACAGTGAATCAAAGAAAACAAAACTACAGAAAAACAATAAATATATCATTTTTCCAATAAGGGCTCGTATTCTGTCTCTTGGTATCGCAGAGTCCGTTGACGGTAACGCTGTCCAGTCCGGAGCCGCTGACTGCGGCCATGTTTCTCTTCCTTCACAACATGAAGGAACCGGGGAAAGGCCCGATCAATCCCAAGATCCTCTTCAACCAGCTCTGCCAGAAGTAAGGCTGTGCTCTTCATAACATCACCCGCGATGACACACATCACAGTTTCACACTCGTAGTTGCCCGTAGTATTTCTCTCTGTCAGCACGGCAGCGGTTAACAACAGGAGCCACAGCTTTTACCTGCTCCCGTTCCCTCAATGCAGCACATTCACCACTTTTACCAGCCAGACCCGGGTAGCACCTGGTCCCAGCTGGATGCCCTTTTGGCAATCTGAGTTCAATGCGCGCACACACTACGGGCACTGCACCCTGTTAAATGTGTTGCAGCAGCTACCTATTTGTAGCTCTCGCTGCTACTTGCCACACTGCTTTGCCACCTGTGTCCTGTTTGATCCACAGCAAGGTCCAAAGAAACAGCCTGACATTTGTGAATGAACAGCTCTTTTATGAGCAGTGTGTGTGTGTGGTTGGCTGGGTTCTTGTTTGAGCATGGTACACTGCTGGTTGGATCCACCCTGCGTGCGTGCGTGTGTGTGTGTGTGTGTGTGTGTAGTAGTGCAGGTGGGTGACCAGAGCATTTGACATTGGATGACTGGGTGAGTCTCTGATGCGGTTTGACAGTTATTCTGGTACCTAGCTTTCATCAGTGAGGTGTGTGTGTGTGGGGGCGGGCGACACCTCACCTGGTACCACCTCAGCCAGCAATACACACGCAGGCAATTGTGCGTTCAGACAGCAAGCGCTGCGCACACCTTTTATGCACTCGTACGCATCTAATTTCAACTAGAGCTAATCTATTCCACTGCCACGCATTTGAACAGAGATTGAATAAGCGCTCCTCTGTTCTCATATGATACACTAATACCACACGATAACTGTTATTGAGGGCGGTATGTAAATGCCTTTAACATCCATCTAACTCCATAAAACAGTTATGTTTTCTACTGTGTCAGTATTGGCGTATGTGTCAGTATTGGCGTATGTCCTCTCCCACATGTTGAGAACTCAACCATTCTACTTGACGAGTCCCAGTATATGTTGACTATGCTGCAATTTGTTCGTTCTTAATACGCTTTGAAAAAGCAAGGGAGCACTTTGCAGCCGATCGGGCTTCTACAGAGTCCAGCATGCCGTCTGCAGCGGACAATTATTTTCGAGCGGCACTTCCAAAACGGACCGGTGCTATAAGCTGAAGTGAATGCAAGCGCCAGTACTCGCATCATTTCTTAATAACAAAAGTGAAGCAAACAACAACAAATATTGGGAAGTTGTAGATCTCAAAACAAAATCAATGGTACATAGCTGGCTCAAGCTATGACAAACATCAGGAGACGGCGTACGAGAGTAAAGAATATGTTTATTAAAGTATAACCCTAACAGGGAGAACTTAAATTATAACCCATATCCACAAACCATAACGATCCTATGAGGTGGGAAGTCAGTAATTCAGTGGTGCAAGTGTGGATGTGTGAAACATGGTGTGGTGCGTGTGTGAATGAAAAGAGTAACTCAAACAGAACAGAAATGTATGGAGACTGCAGCAGGGAGCGACGGCCAGGTCAGCCTCCTCTGGATCTTTTCTCTGGTTCTCTCTGGCTCCCTTCAACTGGCAGGGCCATGGCATATATAGCTTAGGAGACACCGGGCCCAGGTGCTCTCCATTAGCCATCAAGACGAGGCCCCACCCAGGCTCACCTATAGGGCGACAGTTAGGTAGACCCTACTCTTACGTGTGGGGCATCACAAGCCCAGTGTATTTCCTATTTCTAATTATAGTTATATAGCTGAGTCAATTATTTGTTTGACGAACAATCCTGTTAAACAACTTTATTATGGGGCGTGTGTAAATGACAATAAAAATCTTTGAATCTTAAGGAGGTTTTGATTCATCAGTGCTCATCATGATTTCAGCTGCTTATTCTGATTCTACGGAATAACTGAAGATTTACTTAACTTTCAAAGCCTAACACTGGTGTGCTTCTGGTATAAAACTCTTTCACACAGCATGTCATCTGAAGTCTGTCAGGTCTGAAGCTTTGTGGTGAAAGGACGGGTTCAAGGACCGCTCCGGTTTACAGAGACGTCCTTCTATTCTAGTGACCGCTGTGCTCGCTGCACTCTGTGAATACATCATCCTCTCTGGTTATTCCGAGTGGTTTGGAAATGGCCTCTGCGTGTGAGCGCTTTTCCATTTCTCTATCACCATCATTCCCAGTATGTTGCTGTTAATTAGAAAGTTCATAAGGGTGTCTGGCGCCAATGGCGTCCGAAAGTTGGAGTGTTAATCTGTTACTCAATTAGCCATACCTGTTTTTTATTTCAACCAGATTTAACTGTTTACCAGAAGGATTTGTGCCTATTTTTTATAAACATCTTGCTTGCTTGTGTGTTGTCAAAAGTGTACAGTTTCTCTTCCCCATCAACGTGTTCATGGTTAAATTAGATAGAAATTCTTCTTCTCTCTATCCTCTTAGAAAGGGTCCAAGCGGTTTGACCCTTTGTCTTTCTGAGGGCAGCTCTGCAGTGTCTGTGTGTTTCTGGCTGTGTGTGTGTGTGTGTGTGTGTGCGCATGCATTTGACCTCAACCAGCTGAGTACCCCACAGCCTGCCCATTCCCCCTGCCAGCACTGGGGGTCTGGTCTGTGCTGGGACCAGTGCCCAGCTACGTTGGTTGGATGGTCAGCACCTCGCACGCTATCTGGTGCCAGAGAGGGTCCCAGCTTGTACCCGGGCCTTATTTTACCACAGAACTCGGGGTAGATAACTTTTGATTCAATTCTCAAATATTTATCTACTTCCTCCTGGACTCCTTGGGTGTGAGGTCAGGCATACGTGCCCGTCTCCTGCTGCTGTTTTCTAAGAATGGCATGCCCCCTCTGTGCATGTCGAATGCAGGAGATGAATGAAAAAGGCCACGCGGAGGCATTCATCTACACCTGCTTGTATCCACGGCTGATTCAATTTTCACCACGGCCACTGAACACTTCCTTCTATTGCAAGAAAATATACTGGCCCTCTGCTCCATGATGAGACTTCATGAGAAGCCTCACATCCCTGATAGAAATAGCAGAGGACAACAATGGATTCCATCTAGTGCCGTGGCACGCAGGGTACACACACATCCACAGGGAAGAGGCAGGGCCGGCATGCAGGTCCGCTCCGGAGGAAGAACTCTTTCAGGTTGATGAAAAGAGGCAGATATTGATAAAAGTAATACAAATATTAGTGTGGGCGCATGAGCCGAGAAACCACAGTCCAGGGATTCTAATTCAACAATCCGGGGCCGGTATTTCAAAAGATAACCGAAGCTTCATTGACCACTTAATTGACCACTCTGAGAGGAAGGAGTTCTATTAAGGATACAACAGATACACAGTCAAATCAATGGAAGGAACCAAGCCTTTGTTTTGGGCTATATTTTTAATAAACATATTGAAATCCATTGAGTCATAGTTAGATTTTGTGTTTATGCCGCATGATTGTACTGTGCGATCTGTGTGCGGGTGTGTCGTGGCGCTCGTACAGTACGCGTGTGTGTGTGTTCGGGGGGGGGGGGAGCTTGTGTGGCCTTGTGTCTGGTACTAACTCATCCGGCTATTAATTGTGTTAGCGCCGCAGCTGTTTGCGTTGGCCAGATTGAGAGCAGCGCTAAAGGGCCCTTCTGCTTCCCTCCACTGGGATGAGCTTTCAGACCTCCTCACTCCCACTGATCCCTACCAAGCCCTTTCTCTCTGCTCCTCCGCGCCGCTCTGTCTCTCGCTCGCCTTTCCGTCTCACTCCTTTCCTTCCCTGCTTTGCTCAGTATTCCTCTCTTGTGTGACCCTCTCCCGGGAGATCAGTTGGCAGAACAAGAGGGAAGCATTCCTTCACATGCCGCTCACTTTGAGGGATGGTGCATGAGTGACATATGTGCTTTGTACCCTCCTCACCCCTCCAGCCACCCCTTCCCATGTGTCTGCACGCAGAAAGGCCATACGAGGCGGATGGCGTGTCTTTGTGAGGGCTTGGAGGGGTGGGTGGGGGGGGGGGGGGGGGGGGACTCTGGGCTCCTCCAGACCTCCTGGTTATGACCTGTGTCAAGGGCGGGTGGTTGGCCATCTCTACCCCGACCACGGACATCCCGTCCTCGGTCACATGTCAGCGTGACTCTGAGGGATGACTCATTTTCATCGGATTATTCCATGAACGGAGCATTATGAAGGGCATTAATAAAACAACGGGTTTTGTTTAATTTACAATGGTACAAAGCGCAATACACAAAAGATCAGTTCGATAGCAGCATCCATTAATAATAATCATAACGGATCTGACTGATGGTTTCTCAAACCAGTGCAGCGGCCGCTGAGCCTCTCCGACCAACCTGTCCTGTGGATGTGTGGCTGGCTCGGCCCAACAGGTTGCATTGGCTCTGGCCCTCGCTGCCCATCTGCCCCTGGCATCTGCCCTCACATCTGTTTCAATGCGGAAGGCCGGGGGACGGACCCAAGGAGAGCCTCCCCGCGAACTGCTCAGGCATGAATGTCCAGCCACCAAGCGAGTGCACAGCACAAGGTCCAGGCCATGAGTCGACATGGTGGAGCTGGGCTTCGACTACCGGTTTCTATTATCATCTTGACTCACGATGGACCTCTGTATTCAACCCACTGGAACAAAGATTTGTCTATCAGTCCATTCCTTTTCGTAAAGTGTCTTCCTTTTAAGACTCCCTACCTGCATACGATGTGATTGAAAGTCAATAAAATAGTTGCTTTGAATACTGTCAATAAATTTCACTTTCGTCTGTGTCTTTCCCCAGAGCTCCGCGCTTCAAGGGCTACCAACAACAAGACAGCCAGGAGCTTCTGCACTACTTACTGGACTCCATTCGAGTAGAAGAAACTAAGGTGAGCAGATGCACACACACACACACACACACACACACTCCTGTAACGACCGAGTCCAGAATGTAATTGCTGTTAATCTTTGTTCAAGGTTTGCTTAAATTGTGCTCTTTGTTACACAAGTGTCCTTCAAATGTGGGCAGAGAACAGAGCATTTCTGGTGCTTGAGGTGTTTCTGAGGAATCCATTTTGAACATTTGGTAGTATAAAATGTGCCGTCGTGCTGGTGAGGGCCGACGCTGCGTGGAAATGCTCTGTCGGATTATTTTAAGCCACGCTGTAGTTTACAAATCCATCATTCCTTAGTTTGTTTAATCTTAGCATGCCGCTAACACTCAAAACTAAGAAGGCGAGCGTGGAAACGTTGCACCTGCTGAAATTGACCTCTGGAGTGTTTTTCTTTTTAAAAAGCCGTCCTAGACTTGTGCAGTCAAAATATAAGACGACCAGCAAAGCGTTTGTGGGTGGCGGTGTTGCTCTCACGTGTTTTTTTTGTTTTAACCTTATGGCTTTTTGGCAAGTACAAAACTCCCTTCACGGGGCAATTAGGAGGCCCCCCAGCAGCCCTATTCAGGGCTGAGCGAGCCCCTGTGGCCCCACCAGTGGCTGTGTGAACCGAGGAGGAGAAGTTAACGGGTGTGTTTAGTGGTCAGCCGCAGACCCAAGAGGGGCCGCGGGCCGCCGCCCCCCCCCCTGCTCACATTCAAACTTGTGAACACTGACAGTTGTGCCACTTAGGGACTTGCAAGTGGCACGACCGGCATCATTGTGTGATCTTGGGAAACCCACAGCTGCTGAATGAGGCCCGGGGCGGTCCCATTGTGCTGTAGGGTCACCCACAGCCCCCCTCATCAGCCCATCTCCCAATCCAATCAAGGAGGTAAAGAGGGAGGGGGCCACAGACTCTGCGATTCATTGACTCAAAAAGTAATTTATACAGCCGAGCACATTGAGAGATACAGTGGCATTTTTACACTGTGTGACTGATTTTTTTAAATGAATGCAAAAATTAAACTAGGCACCGACCTTTCTAATAAATATAAATGGTTAGTAGTTATAGTGTGGCCGTAAATATAGCTTCTTCAAACCCTGGACCAACATTGTTTTCTAAGCTGACTGTGATGTATCTGTTCCAAGGTAACCTGAATAAACCTATTGTGAAAAGGCCTGTTTGAGTAACACCCAAGTTTTGTTCAAACGACACACACACACCGTCCTGTATGAGCGTCACAGAGGAACACTGGTATTTTTAGAGTGTCAGTGACCTTTCAGAGCCCCTAAGTGTTTGTGTTGATTGGCCATTAGTATCAAAGATCTAAATATGCTAATTTGCCCCAGTCAATTATCACCAATTAGCTGAGATGGTCGGTCCTACTCTCTGAGGGCATGGACTGTCCTTCTTCGCCCCGTCTTCCTTTTAGTTTCCACCCCTGTACCCTTGCACCAGCAACCCTTTCCGACCCCCCTCTTCCTGCACCCCTCCCATCCAGTGTGGGACAGTGCACGCTGTTACTTTGGGGAAGGGGGGGAGGGAGTGTATGGGGTTACTGGTAATTAATTAGTAGGAGAGGCTCAGCCCAGTTTGACTGCTGACAGAGTGGGGTGCACGCTGGCCAGGGTGGGATTAACAGGACTTTTTTTGACCTAAATAGCCAGTCCGGTGCGTGGGTCCCGGGACAATGGGGGGGGTCTCTGACTGGTCTCCAGCGCAGACATAGACCGCGACCAATTATCTATTGATTGGTGCTTTACTGTGGCTGCGCCTCTTCACAGCTCTGTCACAGACACACTCACTGACCATGTCATCTCCAATGAGATCCCACAGACACACACAAACAAGCACCGATAATTAAGAGATTATCAAGGTAACCTTTTTCGACAAGCTTAATAATTATTTTACACTAATGACGCTTATAAGAGGTAAACCTGCCAAACTGAGCTGTGGGCTGGATCATGACGTTTCCCTGTGGAAAAAAAACATGCTGTGTGAATGTGTATCTTAATTGAGCCTCATTTTCAGCGCGCATTGTCACTTTTTGTTGTGTTTTTGTTTTGTCTAGAGAGTGAAAGCGGGAATTCTGAAGGCTTTCAATAATCCCACAGAGAAGACGGCGGACGAGGAGACCAAACGCCAAGTCAAAGGTTGGTGTTGCTGTCGAGGGTCGATGGCTCAGATCAATAGTCCCATCTAGTGGCAGCTGAAGGAACTACAGCATCGTTAGTTATCAGGCAAAGGGGGTCTGATGGAGGAGAGAGCTTAAAGCCTCACCGCTACTTAGACATTTCTGTATAAAACCATTAGTGTGTTAGCGAGGAGTGACCACAATGGTTAAGGGGAGTGAATTTACAGACTGGTCATTGCATTATTTGATTGAAACACATTTCTCTCTTTCCCAGCATACGGAAAGGAAGGTGTGAAGATGAACTTTGTTGACCGCATTTTTGTGGGCGAGCTGACCAACACAATTATGTGTGAAGAGTGCGAGCATGTAAGTGTGCACGTGAGTGAGGAGGCACGGCTCAGTGTGATGACCTCATTGGAACACCGAGACGCACAGGGTCGACAAAAGCTCACGTTCTTCTGCTTTAGACACTAAATGCTTTCTGATTTAGAAACTATAACCTCGCCAACGTTTCTTTACTCTTTATTTTATTTTGCTGCGGAAAGTGGAAACGATGGATTACCATTACATTTCCAACAACACTTTCGTTCTCTATTAATCATGAGGGATATTTTGTGACTGACACAAAGTGTAGTTGACCAGCATTACTTTCCATTTTCTATTGCATCCAATTTTGACCATGAATAACCTTCAACCGCAGGATGTGCTTAAAAGTCAGCAGGCAAAACCGACACGCTGATTGTTAGCGGCAGAGTTTACAATAACACGATGGAGCTCAGAGATGTTTACAAAGCAAATGCCACTATGACAATTCATGAACATCCTTGAAGGTAGAAAGCACCAGGTGTGAAGCTGGAGAAGAATACGCAAAGAAATAGACACATTTCCCAAGGATCCTGCAGCAAAGGTTGAATGTTAACTGCCTATGATTTTGACTATTCCGAAAGTTTATAAATATATATATATATATATCACTTTGTATACAGGGCATGTATATATTTATATATGAATAAATATATATATGACACTGACTGAAATTGTCTTTCAGATATCCACGGTAAAAGAGGCTTTCATAGACATCTCTTTACCCATCATAGAGGAGAGGGTGAGCTGCCACAACTATTCATCGCAAAATCTGTGCAAGTATTATAAAAGCTTGATGCTTGACTCCCCCCCTCTCCCCCCCCTTTAAAGGAGAAACACTGGTGTTGTTATTTTAGAGAAAGCAAAGGTGGTTTTGCCCTTTGCGGGGTTTAATGTTGTAAACGGGCCCCGGGAACTGGAGATTCTTTATATGTTGTAATCAGATCTCAAAACCCTGGCACCCTGGGCGGGTGGGGAAAGGCGGGAGGGAGCAGGACCCTCCACCGGGGTTACAGGGAGGCGCTTCATTTAGCGGCACACGCCGCCCACAGAAAACTCAGGAAGCTGAGTGGACAGGTAGGGACTCGTATGCGATGGAGTAGATTCACATTTCGTTTTATTTATGAACAACAGATGGCTGTGCCATGGATTTGTCTCTTGTGGAATGTGGTATTTCTACACAGAAATGTTAGGACAACCGTATCAGTGTTTGCTCTATATCGATTCTGCAGTTGAGGTTACAAACAGGCTCAGGCTTTTTGAGGATTAGGTTCGAGTGGTGACAGCGTACGATTATTCCTGATTGTTGTGAACTTTTTCAATGACTCCAGAGTTCAAATATCTAAATGAGTTGAAAAAGGACAAAGATTATTTAATATTAAAAGAAGATACGTTACGTGTTTTTTTACAGGTAATCACAGAATATGAGAATAGATATTTAAAGCTTTGTTCGAGACCCTCACAAGCATCAAATGTAAAAATGAAAAACTTAGTCAGAGTTGTTTTTTTCTCCATTGTCTGCCAACTGACTTTGAATGCACATATTGTTGCAACGTGCAAACCCACATGCTATTTGTTTCATGTTGGGATGCTATTGGTTCTCCTCCTGTGTGTGACTTTAAAATAAGTGGTGTAAAGGTGAATAAGCTAATAGCTGATGTTTTACAGTCATGTTTTGTCAAATTATCACTGCAATATTTAGCTAATTTAATAAATACGCTAAGTAAATAAGGTATTTCACATCCACGTACAACAACACCATACTTAAATGTTTCTTGATAGAGTGTGTACCCATAGAGATGGAGCCACAAAGCTTCCACAATATCTGGCTTTTGGCACACCAGCCCAAGCAGCACATTAAATATTTAAAATGATTCACACGGGCGACAGTCGTTGTCCTCGAGATGTCTTGTTGTATCTTTTGTGTCTGCATCTCTAAAAAGGGGGGCTGACATATCTGGTGTTCTCCCCCCAAGAAGCAGCAGAGCAGGAGGTCCCTGAGCTCTGTGGAAGAGAAGGTAGCAGGCTGCAGCGCGGAGCGGCAAGAGGAGGACGGGGTCGCCGCCGGATCGGCTTGCGGCGTCTCCGTCTGCAAGATGGCCGCCGCCGGCAGCCTATCAGACGGCAGCGAAAGGGACTCGGCCCCTCAGGACAGCAGCAACGACGCCGACAGCGAGGCCTCGGAGAGCGAGTGGGCCCCGCGCCCCTTCTCCTCCAGCCACGGGCACGCGTCCACCCCGTCCCATACGCCCGCCCCCGCCGCCTCCCCGTCCCCGTCGTCCTCCGCCTCCAGACAAGGCGGCGCCGTGAAGCAGCTAGTCACCGCCGTGTCCAAAGTCAACATCGCGTTCACTGCTGGGGAGGTCGCTCCTTTGACGCACCGCTCGCCGGAGGAGCCGGGAGAAACGCAGTCGCGAGACAACCTCCACCATCAGCACCACCAGGGGGCCTTCCAGGCGCTGTCCCACAGCTACACACCCAGCTCCAAGGAGTGCTCCATCCAGTCCTGCCTGCACCAGTTCACCTCGGTGGAGCTGCTGATGGGCAACAACAAGCTGCTGTGTGAGAGCTGCACTGAGCGCAGGCAGAAACAGCTGCGAAAGAGCAGCTCGGCCGGTAAGACAAAACATCTGGAAAGACTAAGCTTTGAGGGTGAGCAGCCATCGGCTAACAGATGATGAGGTGGAACTATATTGTAAAATGATTCTTAATCACGGGCAGGTTATTGTACCCATGCACATCATTAAAGCGACACTCCACTCACCCATTCACATCACGCTCTCATCCCCTGCAGTCCTGATTGTTAGCTGGGTCTTATTTGGAAGAGGGCGACTGTGGGCAGCTTGAGTTCCATCCAGTTGCAATAAATTCCAACAATGGAAAAAAACACCTTCATAGAGACTTTTCAATTCTCTCCGTTGGGCGGCGTAATTCACTTCTTTGCGGCCTGACTTTGCGCTCACGGTGTTCCTTATATGAGAATTCCTGCCACAAAAAAACAGTTGAGTTCATCAGTGGCAGTGTGTGCAGATTCTCACTCGTGTCACAGCAGAAGGGCTCCAGATGATCGTAGGATCCTGTAACAAACACTTTTCCAGTGTTTTTGAGAAGTTTGTGACGGTAAAGCTGACATTCTGTGGGTGTTTTGTTCTGTTGGTGTAGACAAGAAGGTGGAGAAGATTTACACCAGTGCTCGGAAGCAAATGCTCATCTCCTCGCTGCCTCCTGTCATCACATTGCATCTGAAACGCTTCCATCAGGTGAGCAGTGGACATTTTAGACCGGCCGCTGTAAATTGCGACTTAGAGCAAGGCGGTGATTCTAGTTTAACAAACAGCGACGTGTGTGTTTACTAAGCGCTCTTCTTCTCTTCTTGTATCTCAAGGCAGGGATGAACCTACGAAAAGTCAACCGCCACGTTGACTTTCCCCTGATCTTGGATCTCGCTCCCTTCTGCTCAGCATCCTGCAAGGTAAAGTCAAACACATTTGTTAGTATCACTGTACTATTGTTTCTAGTAGTTCAGCAATGCGCTTTTCTTTTCTTAATTTCGCCCCCTTTTTGCTAACCTCCCTTATTAATTCCTCTAGAACCTGGCAGCTGGTGAGCGTGTCCTCTACAGCCTGTATGGGATTGTAGAACACAGTGGCTCGATGCGGGGGGGCCACTACACTGCATATGTAAAGGTGCGCGCTCCCCAGAGGAAAACGGAGCAGCTCCAGAAGAACCTGTCAGGTCAGGGTTTCCCTCCTCTCCGCCAAGACCCCTTCACCTTCACTCTGTTTCTGTGTGTTTGTTCGCTGCTCAGGAAAACGGCAAAGGCCTTTCCTTGATTATGTCCTCTACAAACGGGAGGAAGAGGTCTATGCGCATTCTGTAGATCCACGTGGTTTTCTCTCTGTCTGCTCTTCTCTTGAACGTCCAATGTAGGACTGGTAACTAGCCAGCAAAAGGCATCAGTCAAAGCCAAAGTGGGGGGGCTCTGCTCTGGCTTGACCACTCAGCGACGGTGTTTGCAGCTTGATTAATGGTCGCTGCAGAGTCCATCCTTTGGTGGCAGTTGTGACATTGAGAAGCTTTCAAATGATCCGTGCTAGTTAGTTGGAAAGTCCTGCTTTAGCTCAGCCGTCATGCAGCAATAGAGCCCGTCTACATCTTTGTACACTGAACTAAATTGTTTACCCACACTGGACTTCATTCCGCCAGCAACCAAAGCATGAGTAAACATAGCTGCCTATTTCTCTAATGAGCAGGGGAGCGCCATAATGCTCACACACTGTGTGTGTGTGTGTGTTTCAGGTACGAGGGACGCCGGGAGCAGCTTCCAGGGCCAGTGGGTGTACATCAGTGACACCACCGTTCAGACGGTACCAGAGTCACGGGTACTCAACTCTCAGGCATACCTGCTCTTCTACGAGGAACTGCTGTAATGTGACTAGCAAAAGTATTTTTTTTCTTTTCTATTGTTTTTTCTTTTCTTTTTGTACAGGCCTGTATTGCTCCTCATCCTGTATCTGTGAGTAAGTGGAATGGAAAAGAAAAGAAAAAGGGAAAGACAGCACTGTACACCCATTTGTCTTACGTGAGAGGAATGACCGTTTTGCATACAAATGATTTGTTTCCCGTTTTAAAAATCCTTCCCTTTGAACAACAACAACAAAAAAGAGGGTGGTGGAAAAGAGCATAAGTGAACCTGAGCTGTTCTAAGTTCATCGTCTATCTCCGTCACAATCAGATTGCTCGAGGTAACTAGCAGGAAATGAGTAGAATTATTGCATGCTAAGCTGCGCTCAACACTGACTAGCTGATGTCAGGTGTGTGTTACTGTGTGCATGCACACGTGTTTGAGTGAACGAGTGAGTGGGAGACAAGGGAGCGTAGATTCAAGGTGCTATGGGTATTATTTTCCCTTGGCTTCCCTCTACTGCATTCTGCACAGTGTTGGTTCTTTGGCACATATTTGTTCACATGTGTGCTCGATAGTTTCTGGCAATGGCGGGTGAAAAATGGTAAGAAATATGAGGAGAACCTCGAGCACTAATAATACAGCGCCGCAGGCATTAAAGGAGCAGTGTGTAAGATTAATGGAGCCCTTTTGGGAGAAATGGAATATTAAACAATGGGTTCCATATCTCCTAAAAGAGAGGGTCCGCTTCACAGTGTCAGAGTGTATTTAAGGAGGGGACATAGTTGATTGAAACCTCGAGTTCAGCATCTTGGCTTTTGCATTAACGTCTTGGTTCCATGTGACCAGCGAGCAGAAGTGACTATTTTATTAAACTCATGTTTACAATGTTTACTGGTAATGAGTCAAGTGAGGGACGGGTCATTTTCTAATAGGCTTCGATACAATCAGACTACTTTTTGCAAACAAAGGAGTCGCCCCCTCGTGGCCATCAGGAAGAATGCAGGTTTAACTCATATTTCAGATTCAAAGGTTGCCCCCTCCACGCTACTAAAATCTACACATTTCTCTTCTAGATAGCAAGTTATTGGCTCAGTTCCTACCTTTTGTATGTATGCTAATGATGATGACTGATATTTGCCGTACAGGTTTTAATTGGTACACATAGGACCCTTTTAAAGAACAGTACAACAGATGTCTGTACAGCCTCCTTTGAAAGTGTTTTTGTTTCTTTTACATCCGAATGTAACCATGTAAGACTATCAGTTTATAACATTTGCCAAAGACAAGTTTTGCAACAGAAAATCAGAGCAGACAAATCCTTCATACCGTTTCTTTAACCGTTGTTCTTTGAAGGTCGTCAGTATGGTTCTCGAGTGTTGCACAAAAGAAACGCACTCGGATGTTTATCAGACCAACAAAGCGCCTTGTTTGCCTTCATTGTGTATTAGCTCTATTGTTACTGTACAGACTCAACTAAGATTCAGCTGTGCGATTATCCCTCATAATAAGGTTGAGCAAAAAATATCTTTAAAAAAGAAACTAACTCAGCGGCTTTGAAACCCGGCTAGAATTTAAAAAAGAACACTTTGCTGTAATGTGCATGGATTAATGTAAAGAAGTGAATGTATTACTTACAGTATTCTTGGAATGTCTGTCAAATGAGCTGTTGCTATGAAAATATTTTAGACAATTTTCTTGGTACAAAGAACCGGTTTGAACACGTGCATCAGGGTCTAGAGGCTTCTTTTTGTTTTGTATTTTAAAACGAGGACAGCGCTTCGGGTTTAAGGAACCTGCGCATGGTGAGAGAAAAAAACCTATGCAGAATACAATGCAAAGAGGGATAAGTGGCATATTTATGTACAGTATGAGTTACTGCGAGCAAAAAATAATATAGTATATGTAATTGTACATAATTGAAACGATATAAAACCATGGTGCTTCAGGCGTGCAGGTTTTTTCCTCAAGACAAATTTTTGGTTTCCAGAAAATCATGTAATTAGACTTATGAAATGACTAAAAAGATTTGGAATGAGTGTAACTACAAGCCTTTTCAGAAATAAATCTTAACTTATGAACTGAATATTCCACAAGAGTCATCTTTGTCCTATTCTGCAGCCGCACCAGCAGGAGCGAGATCTCGAGAACTGGGATGTGATGGTCCCTCTGCGGGCCGTCGCCGTGGATCCCACGGTGCCACATTGAGCCCGTCTTCAGCGGTGATCGGCCCTGACGGCCGCTGCTGCCCAACATGTCGCGAGCTGGTGAAGAGGAGGTGGGTGTGGAATCGGGAAAAGGGCAACGTCCAAAAACATCGGCCTCGCGCGACTCTCCCCCGCCCCTCCCCCACGTCACGCGCTGTGACATCCGAGCCGTGCTGCCGGAACATTAAAACAGGTTGTCAAGCAGCCACCAACAAAAACAGCAAATCTCTTCTGAAATGCGTTTGTCTATTTTTAAAGTGGCAGCAGGAGGAGGGGGGGTCCTTTGGCTGGAGGACATGCTACTGAAGCATTAGATGTGATTTAATCTCACTTAATGAAAAGCACCCTCCCCCACGGAGTGGCGCCGACGTAAGACACTGAGATGCTGCAGTTGCTGGCCGCCTACGTACCAGCAGCGGAGGTCACATCCTGCTGCCGTCGTCCTGGTGCCTCTCACCTTCACACCCGGGCCGCGTTGATGCACCGCCAACGTCCACCTGCACGTAACCCCCGTTCTAATGTGCTGAACACGTTTCGCTTTTAAGGAAAAGGGGGACGCAGAGCAAGCGGACCCCCCCCCCCCCCCCCCCTCCGTCCTGACACTGAGTGACGAGGAGCTCTGCACCATCTGTTTACTGGAGTCTCATCAATGTGTAACTTTATTTAGCCGTGGTAAACATTGGAATGTATGCAGTCAACACATGCACAGCATATACTGGCCTCTACTGAGATATATTGTATAATGGTGATAATAAGTCTGCATTCGCTCCTGTTTAATGTTCTACTACTAGTAATGCAAGAAGTGAAAGCTCTGTCGGTGCAACGGGGGCGTCTAACCTTTGAGAATGAGGGATCAGGATGACGGGGCGTCTCCCTGTGACAGTGTCCAGGAATACATGGAATTAAAAAAAATAAAAGAGGAAGATGAAATAGAATATAAGCAATGCACAACATGAGGTGAAAAATAAAACCCATTCACTAATAATATCTAAATCTGTATTTACAGTAAAAGTCTAAAGTTGACACATTTTCTCATTTAATAAGTGTGTCCAAACTTGACTGAAGGTCTCCCAGTTATTTGTTGAAATGTTTTAATCGCTTCAGTGGATTCTGTGCAATTTTATTAAGACAAAGCAGACACAGTGTTCAATGTTATTTGCACGATATGCGACACACACTTTCCTGATGTAAAAAACGTTTTATCGTTTCGCGTTGATAAATATTACAACAGCACTAAAATGATACTGATGATGACCTCTGAAAAGCACACGGCAACTCCTCCCTGCAGAAGTAGCGGTTTAGCAGTGTGATGAACAACGACTCCTGGCCGTCGTGGTGTTGAGGGATTCATCCAGCTACACCGGCTGTTTCCTGACGGTGTCCTCCGCCCGCGTCAGACTCCACGGAGGTTGTGACGAGACTGAAAGCTCTGCAGGCTGCAGTGGTGAGGGAGGCCTCGTGGAGAGGAGGAGGAGGAGGAGGAGGTCCTCGGCCGGAGGGGTTATCGGGCGTGTGCAGCACCCACCCCGTCCGCTGGTTAAACTCCTGCAGTCTTCTGCTGTTGGTCGTTCACGTGGTTGTTCGCCTGAAACAAGGTGTGCGCACAGATTTGACGTAATCACAGAATAGTGGATTCCAAGCTACTGTTTTCCAGGAAGGTGGACTCGCCTTGAGAAGAGGCCTGCGTCCGCTTCATCAAAGTCCTCCACCTTAAAGAGGGCAGCGTCACCTTTGCCGTCCCATGTGGAACGGCGCACTGTGTCTGCTTTTGTGTCCTTAACTTGCTGCACTGTGTGTGTTTTTGCTCTCCTCCATCAACAGCTCAGCCTGGTCTTCAGCACTCCACCCTGGAGGACAGCGTTTTTTTCTGCTGAATCGTCAATTGTTTGTTCAGTGCGATCTAGACGACAAAACCTGAGAGATTCTGCGTTTTCATGTTGGAGACTTGAAACTGAACGAGCCTCATGAGAGTTGACGAGCCAGCAGATCTGCAGAGCCCGCTTGTACACAGGTGTGTGAGAGAGAACCAACAAAGTCTCCACAAAAATGTTTCAGTTAACAAGAGTCAAAGGTCAGCTGTTGATTATTAAGAATAATCCAGTTTGAGAGCTGTCCACAGATGTGCATGTGTCCTAATGAAGTCTACGGCTGAAATCCTGCTCAATAACTACAGCAAAATGACAATTTCAGGAATCAGGAATCAGGAATCGGGAAACATTTATTAGCCAAAATATGTCAAACATACAAGGAATTTGTCTTGGCGGTTAGTGCGCGACAGTAGACAGACAAGACAACAGTGCACAAGTAATAAAATAAAGTGGAATGAAATGCTAATGCAATGGGTTAGTAGAATAAGGCTAAGGCTATGGGTTAGTACAACAATTAAAGTAAAACAACAATTTGACTAAATGTTATCATTACCAAAATATTCATAACCAGGATTGCTTCTACTCATAACAATACTTTGGATTAGCACTGTGCAGTGTGGTTCAACACTGTTGAGATTTGTATTAATACTAAAATACACATTTTAAGTTCAAATAACTGCTAGTGGTACATTGACCTACTTTGAATTGCTGTAACTAGAGACCTGCAAATTTTGCGAAGATAAATATAAATTATATATATATATATATATATATATATATATATATATATATATATATATAATGTAGACAAGGGCATTTTGACTTTAGATTTTAAGTGACTTCTACACACGTTGGAAATTGTTCAGCATCCTTGTGCTCGTTATCTTCCACCATCAGCATCTGAATGTCTCGCGTCCCCATGCCGCCTTCAGGTGCTGCTCGTAGATAAACCAAATAAATATATTTAAGTAAGTAATTCACCCCACAATATGGTCAAAATCAATCGTGCGTTTTATCAGGGTTATATCTGGATTTCTGGGGCAAAACATACTAAAAAGAACAAGGCAATTTAGGGCCGGGAGAAAAAGAAGTGGCAAATAAGTAACAGTTCCGACTGCCTCTGAAGGCAGCAGCAGCACCTCGACTCAACACTTCCTCCGGGTAGTCCGCCGAGCCGCCATTTTGATTCAGCCGCGCAGAGCTCGAGAGATCCCGTCTGGAAAAGGTGGGGACTATGTTACTCAAAACACAGCGCACATAGCACTAGTTTCTCTCACGCTTTTCCAGCAATACAGAATGTAATTTCAATGTTAGTGCATTCCCCCCCCATCCGGTAAGACAACTTAAAGGGTGCAACTATCTTTTATAGCTGTATTTATAGCCTAGCTCACATTAGCTTGGGCTAGCTTCATTAGCTCATATTTGCACGACCGTAGTCCGCTTGCGAGGTTTGAGATCCCAGCGGCCCCTGAGTGCGTTTCAGTATCATGCGTCAGTAACGACACGGCACGTTGTGTCATACACGCTCGTGTTTCCCCCACTGGCGGAGGAAACGGTCTCCGGCTAACAAGTCGCTAAACCCGGTCAGCCGGACGCAACGAGAGCTCTCTGCGTGCGTTCAAAGCTCGTGTCTGGCCACCGCGCGACAGAGATGCAAGTGTGGCGTTTGAGTGCATTTAACTATCGCCGCGTGAAGTGAGACGCCGGCGGTGCGTATTTGACTCCTAAATCCAGCTGGCCTTGCTGTTTCAGTTGCCGATCCAGAGGAGAGCGATGTGGGACCAGGGAGGACAGCCCTGGCCGCAGTGGCCTCTGAGCCAGCAGCAGTGGATGCAGTCCTTCCAGCACCAGCAAGATCCGGGTGTGTGAACGATGTGCACGCGCTGTGACACCGAATGCGTGCCCCCCTGCAGGGCTTCTCTGCTCATCACGATCAGTTGGCTTTCACTGGACCTGTTTTCTGCTCTCCGTCGTTGTGTGCAGGTCAGGTGGACTGGGCTGCCTTGGCACAAGCGTGGATCGCCCAAAAGGAGTCGACCGGGCCGGAGCAGCCCAACGTTCAGCCCAACGGCCAGGACATCCCGGGCCTTGAGTCAGTTGGACCGGGGAACCATGGCGCCCTGCGGGGCGACCCGGCCTTTGGCAGAATGTGGCAGCCAGGTACGTTTTTCTAACCGCTTAAGTTTCACAAAATGAATTATTTGGTTCGGAAAATTGTACAGGAAAAGGTCAGTGCATTAGCGGCTTATTGATGAGAATTAGTGCGTTTCTGACACTGGTTGTGATCTCATGTGTGTGGACGTACCTTTTTCGAAGTAAAGAAACTATATTTGCCGTTTAAACAGCTGTTTGTATTGCTTTGGCTCCTCTTTTATTAATCGTGTCGTGCTAAACAGAATGGGGAATGCACGGCCAGGCCCCCCCTCCTCCGCCTCCCCCGCCTCCGCCCCCTCTTCCGGCCCACGACCAGGCCTGGATCCCTCCGGGCTCGGGGCCCATGGACGTGGTGAACCCCAGCGAGGACAGCAACAGCCAGGACAGCGTGGAGTTCAACTCTGAAGCCCACCGTGGGGTTTTCCCCCAGAACAGCCATGGGTATGGGGCACAGCCCGACAGCTACGCCATGGCCCCCATGGCCATGAACCAGTTTGATTATCAGGTATGCCGATGCTACAGTAGAAACTGTTGAAGCGTTTGGGTTTTAGTGTGACAACCAAGTAACTCGAGAGGGAGCAATCTCCCCCCCCCCCCTCTAGGTGTATCAGTCATTGCTCTCTTGATGCACCGCAGAGGAAAGTGTTGAGGATCCAGCATGGATTGTTGTATTTAGCAGATTTTTCTTTTCATTTCCATTTTATTTTTCTAAATCTTCTTTTAAGCCTAACAGACATTCTAGCCCAGTCAGGAGTGATGGACGGGTGTCAGCTAACTAAATCTGGGGAAAGACGGCGGCGAGCGACAGTGCTTAGTGGCAGTTAACAGAAGGCCGTGTGCACTTTGAACCTTCTTTA